AGCTTGCAGAAAGCCATAGTTCATAGTTCACGAAGACTGCTTGATCAGCAATATAGATTGGTCGGTCGATTTGTGCATTATCTCGGGGGGGTTCCGGAAGACGAAAAGACCTGGGGGACAGAATGATGGAGCGAGCGGCAGATTAAAGCGAGAGAGAGAGAGAGAGCGGGCAAGCTTAAATGCGCAGAGCGAGAGTAAGGGTCGTTTAATCTTCCTAGCCTAATTTCCTGCAAGCCTTTGCCGCCGCCGCCGCCGCCGCCGCCGCTACTGTCCACCCTCACCACCCTCACGGCTACTACTATCACTACGTTTGAGAATCTTCATCGTGGGCTGCGCGAGTCACGTTCGTCTGTCGCCGCCGTCGCCGCCGTCGCCACTGTCTGGCGCATGCTAATTGCGCTATCGGCGTTTTTCTTCTTTCCTTCTCTTTCGGGATAAAGTCAGATAATGATGCTTTATTTCTGGTGCTGATGTCAATCCTGAAACGGAATGCGTGTAGTTTACTGGGGAAAAGAGGGAAACGTGGGTAACAGCATCGGGGGGAGAATTTTGAAATGGAAACCCACTCAGCTGGACTTTTTCGTGATAATAATAATAATAATAATAATAATAATAATAATAATAATAATACTCGGTTAACTGAATTTGAACCTGGCTCATCTGTTTTTTGCTTTTCAAAGTGATTATTACCAGAGTCTCTTACAGTTCCAGCTTGTTTTGGTAAACAACAAAAATCTTAATCAGTGTTGGTTGGAAAAGTTTTGCAGACTACGAAATTGACCTGATGGCTTTTATTTGAGTTTATTTTTTGACGTGCTTGCACAGTTGGTCGAGCAAATTGGAAATACTCGTATTGTCAAGTCGATCCAAAGCAATGGGGGAAAAGCAAGCCGTAAATGAGAATCCCCAGCGATTAAAATCAGTGGGCAAAGAGGCAAAAGCTCCGACGAACATCATAAAATCGTCCGATGGATGGCAGGCTCTGGCAGCTGCAGTACAATCGTGCGCGCAAGACGATCGTATTTAAGCAGACACAGAGCCGAAGATAAGGGTTTGTCCTAAGCCGGATTTTCCCTCTCTGTCTGTCTGTCTCTCTCTCTCTCTCTCTCTCACTCTCTCTCTTTCTCTCTCTTTCGCTCCGTAACAAAAGTCGTAAATAGGCATTAAAAGGAGAGCGAACTCTACGAGCAGCGCCTTTGGCTTATCCCCTTTTACGTTGTAAACACGTCTGAAATTAAATGCACCGTGCGTGCCGTGGTACGTTTGAGGACAATACGCCACTATGACGCGCTGCGGCTACGAGGATGGAAGCCCTGATCATGACACGCTTTCAAAGTCGAGTCGGCAAAAATGGGGAGAGACGGCAGTCGGCGCTGCCTAGAATATTGACTCGTACTACTTGAATTTCTTTCTAGGCGTTGCGGATCCATCAAAGACGAGAACTCTCTCGTGTAGTTCACATTGAATTGGCTTTGATTATTCGTGATCCCGATTCAATTTTGAATCGATCGTCAGAAGCAGAAGTAAAAGTCAACTGCTGCTCTGATTGTAATCGTTAATGCACATCTTCGAGCAGTTTATCTAACTGACTAGCAAGCGCTAAGGAATATTAAATAAATAATTTGTCAAATTGATCTTTCGGCGTCGCCGTCGTGATCTGGCATCTGGACAATCTTTCAACGCTCGTCAACAAATGGCTTACTTCTCTAAAACAATGATATGAATTTGCGTCGAGCACAATTAATTATATGACAATTCAAATCATAACATAGCATCGGGATACTAAGCTACCTGCCCACATCCATCAAGTGTAGTGCGTCGAGTGTTATACATAGAAGCAGCACTGTGGCTCGCATCGCTGCTGCATTTGAGCCCTCGACGGTTATTACGTCGATAAAGGAGATGCAAGCTCCTGCCTTGACCGCGTTCCCGGGTAACTGGAAGAAGTACAGGGTCTCTCGAGATTTCACGGGACTCGAACTGCAATACGGGTCGCGAAAATATTCAGGCAAGCAGCAAAGCCAATTTGACGAGTAGATGGAACGATAAATATGTAATTCCGCACCTCATTCGCAAAGGCGATCGCGCGCAAGTAGCCGAAAGTCGAGCCGCTGCAAGAAAATTCGAATAGCAGCCTGCTGCCGTCGCTGCCGCCGCCATCGCCGCTGCTGTGTGCACCTTAATCTCTATCATTCTCTTTGTTTCCGCAAGCATTTCCCGGGTCGAGCCTCTCCTCCTGCTCTTTCTGCCTATCCTCTATCTCGGCAACAGGCACTGAATGCAAATTCCGACGGAGGAAAATTTACAGGAGCTTGCTCTCAGTGCTCTCGACTAAAAGGCAGAAGGGAGGCAGGGCAAAGGCTTAATAAAAAGGAAACACGTATTACGACCCCGGGAAATGGAGAAAATGAACCGTGCATATTAAAGCAAAAGGCGATCGCGGCAGAGAGAGCAGAGAGAGCAGAGAGAGAGAGAGAGAGAACGCATTTCACGGATTCCATTCTATTCCTTTTCCTTTTCCCTTTTTTCTACTCGCTGAGCAGCTGAGCAGCTTCGATACAGCTCACGGCATTTATAAGCTCCCTTTCTTGCGATTATTTATTTCGTTGCCATCTACTTCGCACGGCATACGACTGGCTATTATTTCTTTATTGATCCCATTCTTCGTTTTAGCTCCAACGGCCGTCCTCGAGCTTTTTCGATGAATAGTAGAAGATATCACTTTTCGTTATTGATCGAAAAGCTTTTCTTCGACTTTACACAAACATAATTTAATAAGTGAAAAAGCAGAGGAGCTAAGTCTTTGGAAGAGTTCATTCCGACTCGCGGAACGATACGGGGAGAGAAAGCACCGACGGCAGTGTGCAATGGCCACAGTCGGCGATTAAAACTAATGGAAAAGCAGCAGCGCGCTAAAGAAAATCACGACTAGAGAGCGAGGCGGCAGCTACGTGTGTGCGCGCGCGCGCTATCGGCGGGCCCGCAGCCGCCACGTTTCTCGCCCCCACGGCTAAGAAGATTACGTGCAGACGCATCCTGAGGGGCTATGAACGAGAGAGGGGATCTATACGGAAGTTGCTGTATGCGAATTTCCGCTGCTAACAGCGACCACTAACGCCCCGAGGGCAGAGGAAGGGATCGACCTCCTCTCTCTTTTCCACTCGCGCGCGCGCTTCGACATTATACAACAATTGAGCCTCCGCGCCTTTTTGCATTTTGCAAAATTGGGTAAATACTCGCCGGGGCTATTACACGTGCACGGTACAAACTTTTCGATAGAAAGTTACACGAATGTGCGTACGTACGGATGCGCCGTAATTTCACTTCCGAATAGATCATGTAATTTCACTTGGGAATTTGCGCATTTCTCGACACGCGCACTGCAGTAGATAATAATGATAATTTTACCAGTTGAGCTTTTGATGCGCGAGCCGCACTATCGCCATTTGCAAGTATTAAGCGACGCTCTTTTCGCAAATGGAGAGTCCCGTTATCCGCTGGCAGAGATAGTCGGCAACAAAAAAAAAAGAAAAAAGAAAAAAGAAAAAAAAAAAAACAATGGAAATGCGTGCGGGAACGGGAACGGGAGATAAACAAATATGAAGGTGCCCCGATGCAAAACGACAAGCCTATAGCAACAACGAAGTGACGCGTGTGTGCAACGATCGAACGGACTCTTATAGGCGCGCGCGCGCGCGCGCGTGTTCGTGTGTGGCGCTGAGGGGGCAGTCGGCGTTGGTGGTAACATTAGCATACAAACGAGTTCGGGATTTCATTCGTACACATCCACGTGAGCGCCGTTATAAACCTCTTGCGCGCACTTTGGAAACGGCGCGGAAAAAGAAGAGAGATGTATTTGACGTTGAAATATAACGGGCTAACCCCCGCAGGAAAATATATTGCTTTATTAACGCGCGCCTCGGAGAGGGAAAGCTTTTCATTTTCTTTTTTTGTTTCCTCTCTCCTACTTGTACTACTGCTTTGCATTTCCAGGCGGCTTTTTCTTTTTGTTTGCAAGCGGAATGGAAATTAGCGCGAGCCCGCGAGGTGCTGCTACCCTTCCTGTCCGTTCCGCCGCCGTAGCTTTGGCGTTTTCTGCGAGATTTTAAGTGTCTTTTTTGACGGAGGTCATCCCCGTGCGAACGCTGATGAGGGATTTTTTTTTCGGCAGTCCAAAAACGGCGATTCGGCTATTTCCTCCTGCGGATTCATTCAAATTAGCGTGGCGCCCAGAGAATTCGCTTTGCTCTCGTTTGAAATTCGAAAAACGCGTCGAGTGCATACAACAATTAAATTTATCAGATAAGCCGTTCGTTGAACCCGGAAGTCAACACAACCGGTCAATCAAATTATCACCAAAGGGTGTCGTACACACATCCATCAGCAAACACACTGCATTGCCACACGTCGCATGTGTCTCTGCACCCTCTTCGTAGAGAAAAGAAGGGTGCCTTGGTCATTAGTCCAAAAAATTGGTCTATATTTGAATGTAGCACATACGGAAGCGCCGGAAAAACAGTAGAAGCGCGTAAATCGCAGAAATTCACGTTGGGCTGGCGTTATCGCTTTGGCGGATCTCGGCTCGTAAATCGGACGCTCGTTATTTCTCTCTCTCTCTCTCTCTCTCTCGCGCACGCTCGTATCCTTTGTCTCTGTAGCTCTTCGCTCATCGGTACTGCTACCGCGATACATCGCAAAAAAAGAGGCGGGGGGGGGGGGGGCAAAACAAAAGTCCGCAGGAAATATGCGTATCCGTAGCGAGCTGCGCGTCCGCATGTATATCATTTCGGTATCTGCGATGCCTTCGTTCATTATCCGTTTTTTGCGCCCTGGGCCCGACACTACCTTTTTTGTCGCCATAATTAACCGAGCGTTTCGCGTGCATTAGAGATATGCTTTTCGGGCGATGCGCTTTAAATGACAAAATGCCGCTTCGGCGGACTCGTGCGACGAAAAATTGCGATGTCGTTCACAGAACATTATTTTTATTCTTGTTTCAGGTGAGTACAATGAGACGAGACTCGAGCATATGGACGAATCCGACGACTGTGAGTAGATCGTAAAATTACGTTAAATCGTTGCAGTTGTTGAGAATATCGAGCGCGTCGCGAGATACTGGATGTCCAGTTAACGATCGGTAACGAACGTGTTCGTACGCGCTCGAGGCAACAATTACGGCCTGCGCGCTCTTTTCATTAATTTCAGCTGGCGAAATGTTGGTTTTCGTTGCGAGTACGTCGAGCGTTTGCTCGTCGGGTGGGGGAGGGGGCATACGCTAAGAATAATCGTCGGCAAGTGTTTCCGCGACGCGTCCACCAATGGCCCGAGAAACAGGCGCGCGCGCGATTATCCGTCGCGTCTCGCTTTTAATTCGCGGCGTTTCGCAGCGGCGGCAGGCGCACGCGCAGTTTTATAACGGAAGCGACAATGGGCGAGGCCGGTCATAAATCATGCAGACTTGCCTTCTCTCTCTCTCTCTCTCTCTCTCTCTCTCTCTCTCTGTCTCTCTCGTATTATCGCATACGCCATTAACCATCGCGCGAGTTCACACACACACACATGCGCGCGCGCGCACGAAGATAACGTTTACACGAGTTGGTGCGTGCGCACGCGCAGCGCCGGTGGCATCGTCCCTCGCCGAACAAAGGGACTGCCGGCAGAGCAGCTGCCGAGGTGCATGCGGTTTTCACTCGTCTCGTCGGTTGCCGAGTGGCCTCATTAACGTCCGATGAGGCTGCTGCTACCGCTTCGCTCTGCCGATATATTGCCTGATGAATGCACTGCTGCCGCCGTCGCTCCCAAATTGCTGGATAATCGTCTTTGAGATGTTGCCTATTATAGTGCCTCCGCAGTCGAGCTTTGTTTGCGATTTGTTGGAACGGAATTGTTCTACTCGACTTTTCGCTCTGGAGGGTGCGCCGAACGCCGACTATCTCCTTCTCGAGCATCGACTGGTCGTTCGAGCGCGCAATTGTCCCGAAAACGGGCGGCGATTCGCTGCTTCGTACGTTCTGCCTTTGCCAGCAATCGAGCGTCCGCGCATTATCGAATGAAAATTCGCAGCGTTCACGGCAGCGATGTCGCTTTTAATCAGTCGGTAGCGGGTAGCCGCTGAACAAAGCCGCGCGTCGAACGAATCAATCCACTCCCTCTGCCGCTCTCGCTGCGGATGAATATCAATTTTCCGCAGGCGCGGGCGCCGTGTTTTTCTCCATTGCGCTTGTCATTCGAGATGACGATGACGATGAGTTTTCGGGCGTAACTCGACAATCCTCCCGGCCTGCAGTTCGCATGCGAAAACGTGCGAAAATCAAATTACGAAAATCCGCGACGTTTCGAGGCACGGCGGCCTCCCCTCGCTGTCATTCGCCGCGGCGCGAGAAATGCGAGTTAAAAATCGGCCGGCCGCTTCAGTCATTGATTTGGCGCTCAAAGCGGTTCGCCGAAATTGCCGATGGCGCGAGTTTTTCGAGTGACGCCGCATGCCGTGCCCAATAAATTGCTATCGGAAAGTTGCTTAAACGCTGCGATGTTTTTTGACGAGCGCGTTACAAAACACATTCCAGCCGGGACGGCAAGCCTCGAGCTTCCCAAAGAGCTGCGCGTGGCACAAAGAGCCGCGCGATAATCGGCGCGGCGGTGGCGGAAAAAAGATTGGAGCAGGAGAGAGAGAGAAGGGAGGTAGGTAGGTCGTGGCGAACAATGCCGAGCGAATATCCCCGAGAGTTGAGTAATGCGCGTGTCGCTGACACGCTGTTAGGAGAGACAAACGCTTCGCGAGCGAGTGACGAGCCCGCGGAGGAAATGATACTCGCACCCCGAGAATAATAGAAATGGCAGGCGCGAGCGAGCCTCGAGAAAAAGCGAGATAAGGCGTGGCTCTGCTCTCTCAGGTTTGATTCATCGACGTTCATTGTCCCGAGTCCGCAACGTCGCGATCTCGCTTCGACGTTACGCTCGGCGACGTCTCGTTGGACTGGGCTATTTCAACGCTGCACTCGGGCGCAGGCAAGCGTACAATTTGCTGAGCAAGGCCAAGCCGAATTTCTAAGAACGCGACACCAAACGCACAGCGTGGCTCAAAGGCTCTCTCGCCCGAACTGCGCGCCTGAGTATACACCTACAGAGAGACGGAGAGAGAGGTTTGCCTGGCGACGCCAGCTGCGTCAATTTGCGAATACGTACGCGAGAGAGAGAGAGAGAGAGAGAGAGAGAGAGAGAGAGATGCTGCGCCGGCGTCATTATGCGAGAGACCCGAGAACTGTACGCGAGGTTCCCGTCTGTCTAGCGCGCGCGCGCGCGTTCCGTCATCAGGCGCTGCTGCGTCCGCCCAACCAAACGCTATCGATCTTGCGAGGCGGCCGCGCGCCAGCTAGCTTTGTGCACCACTCGCACAAAGCTCGAAAGGTGCACGCTTTAAAGTCCACGCAAATGTAGCTCGGGCGTCGTTTGTCAATTTACAGATCGACAGCTACGCTTTGTCGATTAAGCCGTTGTTCAAGTATATTCCTAGCTGAAATATCACCCGAGGATAGCGCGCGACAGCGAGTAGAAGCAGTCGAGTTGCTGCCAGACGCTCGAGAGGCTGCGCTGCCAAAATGCATCCGCGGCCGCCTTGTCGACGCTGCAATGTTGGCAAGAAATTTTTCGTCCTCACACGGCTCTCGTTAATGCTAGTCTGATGTACAAACTGACAGCCACCTTGGAGATTTTCTTGTTTTCGTTCAATTCCAATCTTGCAAATAATGGCTGTCGTCAGCCCTTTGAAGTCAATTAAGCAAGAACGGATCTACTAGAGGCGCCTTGTCGTCCTTACAAAAATAACCTACAAAAAGACCTTTCTCGTGTGCTATTCTTTAATCGGTAAAATCCTGCGGCTTTATCTTGACGTCCAAGAAAATTGCGCGAGAGAGAGAGTAGAGTGTCGCGTACAACTTTCATTTGCATAATCTATTTGCTTATTCATTCGTTCGGTTCTCTCTATCTTCTCTTCTCCGTTTTGTCATTGCGTCGTCGTCTCGTTCGTGCTGGGCCGATACACACGCAACCACAAAAACACTCGGAGTCGTGGAGTCGTAAACACTTGGCAACAAACGCGACTTGGCATTCATGGACTCGACGCTCTCGTTGCTGCAAAAACCAGCAGCTAAGGGTAAACAAACGTCTCCTCGACCTTTTTAAACTGCCGTTCACATTGTGAGCTTGTTTTTGGTTCGATTACTCGCCGATGTGTTGGATGCTTTCGTTTGTTCGTTCGAAGGGAAAGGATTCGAATTAGAGTGTCAGAGCGAAAGCCAAAATCATCTCTCTGGCGGTAGTACAGCAAGACGGAGAGGCAAAGTACACGTCTAATTCCACGCAGAGCTGCTTTGGGGGCTTTATCTCGCTCCACTTGCCAGAACAGAGCAGCAGTGGCTTCTTCTCCGCAATCTTCGCGTCGGCTTTCATCGCCTAGCTCGCCTAGCTAGGTACCACTACTACTACGGCCGGGCTAATCCGTCTGTTTCCACTTGCGCCTGTCGCCGCGCCTTTTCCCAGACGCTAATCCTACCCGAATATCTCGGCCTTATCTTGCCCTCCCGCCGTGCGATCCGGAACAGAGACGACGAGGCACCTTGTCAACGCTGCTGCTCATCTTGCTACCTATAAGTAACACATGCCAATGGCCACATGTAAAATAGCTTTTTCCAAGCTTCTTTATTCTGCAATTTGCGTACTGCACTTGTGTCACTTTATATCTGCTTTGGCCCGAACGATCTCCCGATCGCAAGTCAAATGTTTCCAAGGGATTTCGCTGATCATTCAATCAAAATTGTTCGTTCGCGAGGATGTACCGAAAGAAAGTTGGGAAACTTGCTGGGAATTCCACAGTCAAAAAATAATATAGCATTTATAGCCTTTTTTCTTTCCAAGCATATCCGTTTTTACTAAGAATCTCATTAAATATTCTTGTTATTTCGTGCTCTACATCATAATTTGGCATATCATTCCGTGGAAGCTCCGTGCATGACAGAGAGAGAGAGGGAGAGAGAGAAAGAGAGAGAGAGAGAGAAACTGCCTTATTAGGTGATACTTCATGCATCAGTTCATTTCGTGGGCGCCATTTAAATTCTCCGATTTTTTTCATTCTGGCCGCTTTCGTTCTCTCGTCGTCGGAGATGGAGCCTTTGTTCATTTCTCTCATTGCTGCTGCCAGACGACCTCTCTCTCTCTCTCTCTCTCTCTCTCTCTCTCTCTCTCTCTCTCTCTCTCTCTCTCTCTTCGTGTCTTGATTTTTCAGCTTTTCCTCGACGAATTTATTTTCGTCACTCTTGTGTCCAGAAAAAATATAAACAAGGCAGAAGAAAGAGTTTCTTATAACCGTTGGTCAGCATTGTGTTACGAAAGCTTCTCGTTGACTTACAATCATGATTCCTGTTAATTAAGATTCGCGAAGCACGACAGATCCAATCTAAGGAATTGAATTTGCGTTGTGTAGAAGAAAACTGTTTTAAATAACTTTTTCAATAAACTCCGAGTAATCAAAGATTTGCGCGCAAACATGCCGTTTCTATCTGAATAAACCTGCTAATTAACTGTTTAAACGTAACAACGATAATTAAAACCACGCTTACACGCACATTGGCTGTTATAAATATTAATAAATGTCAATGACATCGACGTCTGAATTGAAAAAGGAAAAGATAACGCGAAATTAATTGAGGCGTATGTTGAGCGAAAAAACATTTCAATCGGCAGCGAAGCAAACGCATTAAAAACGTAGAAATCGGTAGTATTTATTAATCGCGCAGCGCCAATGAGACTGGGAAATGGAAAGCCAAAAGCATAATTAATTAAAACAGGACGCGCGACGGAACGATACAGCCAGCTGCTGTGCTTCGCCGGCTGCGAGAGCTAATCAATCAACTGGGTAACTTCGCATTTCTTTGTGGACACCGAGCAAAAGTAATCGTCGATGACAGCGACTAATGCTTGCAACCAGTCGATTGTTGTTCGTTAGATATATATCTGCTTTTTTTTAATTCAACCTGACAGATTTGTCAGGTGG